TGAACACAATGGATATGCTTGAATGCAAGGTAGTCAAGATTATCCAAGAACATGTACTACAAGCACATGTCATCTACTGCATTCTCTTCTACTACTAATATGCTAAGTCAACACATCTCATTAAATGCTTCAAAGATACACTAATTTCTTAATCATGCATAAAGCAACATTTGATTAAACCCTAATTAATAATAGGTTTGAATAGCAACATCTATTTTTATAGATTAGAAAAATCTTAGAAAATTATCATAGCACAGTATTACCCTAAATAGTCTACCATTAAATTTTTATGGCATTTGGATAAGTGGATTAGCCTACACAAAAATGACAAGCTATGGCATAATTATGAACATGAAAATACTTTGTACTGTGAAAAGTGTCAAACAACAGATGTAATATTTTTCCTATGTTCTACACAGCAAATAATCACTGCACAAAAATTATCACATGCATGTTTTATACAAATTTTGCTCTCTAGCAAAAATAACAAAAATCAGTCATTAAAGGCACTTGAACTACATCTCACTATTTTTCTACAGGACATGCATGGCATATATTTTTCCTAGGAAGTACATTACACAAGAAGAATAACACACTTGGAAGCATATTTTTTCTGAAACATATAGGTTTTACTACACATTTTACAAGATATTAGCAATATCAAGGATTAAATAAAGCTCTACATAAAAGTATCTCAAAAATGACATGCAATATTTTTATCATGTAGATCTGATGACAAGGAACCTAGCAAAATTTGTTTCAACAAATTTGGAGCAATTTTGAGCAAGTTATAAATCTCCAAAGCATTTAACAAAATTCTGAAAAAGCATTTCTTAAATCCTTTTTAAAACCAGCCGACGAAAATGCTGGGTGCACCCGGTGCTGTGCACCCGAAACTTCCACCGACCACTGCGGCTGGGCCCTGCGGCCCCACGGGTCAGTGACCCGAGAGCATGGGAGGAGCCCCGCCGACCGATGCTCACCTGCGGCGAGCTCTTCCGGTGGCGCAGGCGGTGCCAGCGTGCACACCACGCTGAGCCGCACCGACTGGAAGGGTGGAATTGGCCCGACGGCGTGACGGTCCATGCGACCGCGGCAGCGCACTCGCCGGAGAGAAAGGGGGTGACCAAGCTCGGCCCTTACCTCGACGACGGCAGCCGTGAGCGAGCGCAAGCGAGGCAGGGACCCAAGGCGGAGCTGCTGGCGGCGGGAATCGAAGAAAAAGGCGTGGGAGGAGGGGTACGTCGCCGACGGGGCAGCGGCGGCGCTCGGTGGCGAGAGCTCCCGCGGAGCTCTAAACTGGAGAGAAAGGAGGAGGAGACAGGATGGCGTGCGGGGTGGAGTGGCGTGCGCACGTTCGGACAGCTTTGAAGGCGGAGCACAGCCGGTCGGAGCAGGCACCGCCCCTCGCCGCCGGTGTACGGGCGCCGTGTGGCGACCGGGCAGGCGGGGAAGGTGGGCGCGTTTGCGCGCGGGAGCGGCCGCGGCGTGGGCCTGGGCCGGCGAAGCGCTGCTGGGCCAGACGCGGGGCGGGCGAGCGAGCGGCGGGCGCGGAGGCAGGCCAAGCCGGCTTCGGCCGTGGGCCGAGAAGCGAGGGCGGCGGCCCGCTAAGGAAATGAAACGATTTTCTTTTTAAAATCTAAATTCAAACAGCCCCAAATTCATCATTTTGAGCAACAAAAATCATTTTCAAGATTTGGTGCAAAAATGAAAGTTGCTCCATTTTTCGAGATCTACAACTTTGCTTTTATGACCAAAATCAAATTCCAAGTAGATTTTGAATTACAAATAAAAATCAATAATAATTCAAAACTCAATTTTTGAAGAATTATTTTTAAAAGCATAATTTGGCAAAATTTTGAATATAAACTTTACTCCAAAATGCATTCTAATTACTTCTAAGTTGTCTAAGTGATCAACCAAGGTACACACATGGCAAAACAAACATAGCATCCAATCTATTAAAACAAGACTATACACACACCTGTTTCATTAATATATTTCAATTCTATATTTCATGTCATGCTTATGAATGCATAATAATGATTATGATCATGATTTGCAAAATGTTAATGCATGCTTAGCAGTTAGCACCGAGGTGTTACACACGTACCTCGGCGTTAACCCGCGCCACAACGAGGTCTGGGCACTTAACGCCCGTGACCAGCCCTTCTTCCTCCTCCCCTCTTTCTTTTTACTTCTGGCGTCGCCCCCTTCTCTCTCCGCACCCGAAAAACTAGGATCAATTTGACATGTTATGAGCCCGCATTCAGCGTGGATTAGTCTCCCTGAGGTAATTCCCATCTCCTCTTCTCTTTGAATCGAATGGATTTTAGGTACATTTCTTCTTTGAGTTGGAGCACTAAGGTTAGAGTTCATGAATGGTTGTTAGAGTTTCGGGTTGGAGCACTAGCATTGTTAGAGCACTAGCATGAGTTGGAGCACTAGGGTTAGAGTTCATGAATGGTTGTTAGAGTTTCGAGTTGGAGCACTAGCCTTGTTAGAGCACTATCATTGTTAGAGCACTTCATCTAGCTAGATATGTATTGGTCAAAGATAAATAGTTACGTCGTCATTAGAGCGCTCTCTCTCTTTTAGTACACTCAGCATTGGTTGTTATCTCTTTTAGAATGTTCCATTTGAGTATTGCAGTTGTTATTTTTAAGAGTAAAATGCACCGGAGGTTCATCAATTTGTAAGAGGTGTCACTTATGTCCATCAGCTCTGAAAGTGTTTTTTTTTGGTCCATCAATTTTTTTAAGTCATTCACCGTAGGTCCATACCCCTCTACATGGACATCTGATGATGATGTGGCACGCTTATTGGACGTCTTAATTCTCTATGTTAAGGAGCTGATCCGAATACAGATACAAGGCCCCCCACTCATCACAACGAATGGCGAGCTTTCCCACTAGCCTCACACGATTAATTGATCACGTTGTGGGCGCCTCGACCACCACAAGCTTGCCCAGCGCTCACAGCAGCCGCCGGCGAGGACGCGCCGCAGCCCACCGAGGGGGCTAGCCGGTGTGCCGTTGTCCACTTCCGCCTCCCATCTGCGTGGGCTATGGTGGCGCCTCTCTCCTCCATGACATGAATGGCGATGAAGATGGATAGCACCACCAACGCCGAGGGCTGAGGCGGCATCGTGTCCTACATCCGTCTTCACGGCGTACTTCTTTCCTCGAAGGAGAGGGAGGAGGGCTGGGCCGATGGGTCTCTGTCGGGGCCCCAAGGAGGAAAGGGAAACAAGATGACGCTCGTTAAAGTCCAGGCACATAGGAAATTTGAGCTTCCTCAATTCTTCGAAATCCCAACAAGATGGGCACGAATGAGCGCAGGACACGAGTCTACCTCCATGGACGCTAGGAGCACGCGAGCCGGCGGGAGAGGTCGGCCGCGGCAAGGTGCCACTACTCACCGTCCCCTGTCCCGTTGGCGGCGCCGCCCAAGACCGACGTCGGTGATGGCGACTAGCGGGGTGGAGCAGCGCGTGAGGGAGACGAACAAAAAGCAGATGCAGAAAGGAACGTCGGCGCTCAAGATATGCTCGATAAAATGCCAGAGATGGATGGAGAGAAAGGAGAGGGATGAGAGAGGAGATTCCTCGTCGGCGTGTCATGTCAACATTAGATAGCCATGTGGAGATGTATGGACCTGCGGTGAACGACTTAACAAGTTTATAGATCCAAAAATGCACTTTCAAAATTCGTAGACCTAAGTGGCACATCATTACAAAGTTGATGGTACTCCGATGCATTTTACTCTTTTTTTAATGATGGGGCAATGGTAGTTTATGGTATCTAATCATAGAATTTAAGGATTATTGGTCAATATGAGAGCATTTGGCAACCATATAATTTTCTTACATTACATCATTGCATTTTTTCCGGCAATGAAGAACAACGACGAAAGGGCAATCAATCGTCGCGCGCGTTGACGCCGTGGACCAACTCCCACCGGAGCGACTCGAGAAGGCGAAGAAGGAAGCATTGGAGCAGGAACTGCCAACCACTCAGCCAGAAAAAAGGCCGAACAGTTTTGTGCGACGAAAACATTTTCTTTTTTTCTTTTTTGATAGAAAACATACTTCCATATCAACAGCATGGAGCTGTTAGAACCATTACAGAGTCAATGGTTACGGTTTGCAGTGCATTAGCTACTGTGCACTGGTGTACATGATCTGCATTAGAACAGCTATAAGAAGAAACAGGAGTATCAGACTCTATGTTTCTTGGCGCTTGTCTTGCAAGTGAATCAGCAGTTTGATTCAGACTCCTATTGATGTTGAAAGTTGCTGTTCTTCTGTTGCGGGTGCAGTTGATGAAGAGCTGTCAGGAGCTTGATTCTCCAATCCGGGGGATTGGAGTGGTCTGCTGAATTTAAGAACTGAACCAGCTCTTGATTATCCAATAAGAAATTTGTGTGTTGAAGATGTAATCGATCAATAATAGCTGCAGCCAGAGCAAGAGCTGCTGCCGCAGCCATGAGAACAGTTTTGTGCAACGAAAACATTAAAACGGTAGCAGCGAAATAGTTTTATCGCGAAACAACGTGACGACCGCACCCGTCTCCCCTTTTTGGCGACCGAGGCTTGTCTATCACTCACCCATTTGCCTGGATTAAGGGCAGCCCTTGCCCCTTGGAGCCTAACAGCCATTTTGGATGGTCTCACAAAGTGTATGATCCCAATGTACGGTACTTCTGGATTGCGTAAGCTTTTTAACCGTCCCAGTCCCGCACAGGCTCGAGTAGCTACAACCAAAACCCTAGCCCAAATAGCTAGCCGGAGAATCGGTTTTACACGATGTAGCCCCCATGGATGAACGGGAGAAAAATCACCTGAATGGCTTTTAAAGAAAAAAAATACGTTGGCCGTAGCTCGGAGAGTCCAACCAAACATAAATTAGGAGTTCATACGATTAAATGACAGATATTAAATTATCACATACTTGTAGTACAACACCTGACATTAAACAAGATAGCGAGAAAATAAAGGTCTACCCATAGACAAACAATTGCAAGTTCTTCAAGGAGACGACTGAGCAGCCTTCATTTTTTTCACCAAGTTCATCATCATCTCTTCTAAAAGGAGACATCTGTCATGTGAATGTAATCAATGCGTACAAGAGAAAAAACTTATCAGCCTTCAGATTATTTTCTCTCACAGAAAACTATTGAATCAGCCGAAAAAACTACCAGCCGAACAGCCCCAAAATGAAAAATTATCACAAGAGTGCACTGGCGTACGTAAACGACAGGCAAAGCACGCAAAAGTGCAATGGACAAGCAAAGCACTCAAAGGACAACATAATTAACGCGGGAAAAAATTAACTTGCCTGGAGCAGCTACATTTGGCCTTTTGTAGATAACATTGTATTTACCTAAACAGTAAACTATTTGTTAGAATCGAGGTAGAAAGGCCTCTTGCGGAAATAGGGAATTCACTAAACAGCAAAATATTGGTTAGATGTATATAGCACTGAAGCCCAACCATCTCTGTTCTTAAAAGAACTGGACTGAACCAAGATCTATATAAATTTGAACTAGAGTTGCTAACAACTCAACGAGACCTACATAACAATTGAACTTCACTTTTACACACAAAAAGAAAATCACTTGACTGCATAGGAGTACTAGGTTTCATTGTGACTATAACTGACCATCGATTTTTAGAAAGGGTAATTACAACATGCTGGATCAGCCAACCCAAAAGAAAAGGCTAACTACTACTATGCTTCGACATAAATTGGAGTAAATGTCTCTCTTTTTCTTTCTCTAATGGGTGTTTAAACTTGAAATAAGATGTATACCTTCTTCGATGATTTCCTCATCATTTGACAGTTTTGCTCTTAACAGTATTCTGCCACGGGCACATTTGGTGGTGTTGAATACGCCGAGCTACAAACATAAATTAAAACAAAATACTTAATGCAGCTGAACAGGATTATTTCAATCTCAAAGAAATACACCACCACAGAGCTCAAGTTTCAAGCAAATTGGTGTATGATAGAGATGAAAACATGTGCCACTAACAAAGATATACAGGTTTAAAAATCCAACCCTCCGATCACAAAAATGCAAGTCATTTAGGACATTGACATTGTCTACAAGGTGAATCTTGACAAGCAGTTTCCATAAGAATTTGAATGTAAAAGGACTTATATTTCTGATTAATCTACTAATGGTCTAATGTAGACATTACATTGTCAAACTAAATTCTTTATATACTGATGGTCAAAGTAGAAAAAGCTTGATTGACAAGGATTCTAAAACATATATTTACAATTGGAGCACGCATAATTTCTTACTCTATTCGTTTTGATATCTTTACCGTCTCATGTCATGTTTTAGCTGACCTATTCATCTCGTCACATTATTAGAATGTCATAGGATTCTGGTGTGTTTGTTTGGTTTTGCACCCAAAATTTCACAAGCTATGCAAAGATTTTTTTTACTATGGTTAAGTTTGCCCACTTCATTTGGTTGGCTGCAAAACTTGGCATGATAGCCCTCAGAACTTTGTGCAAGTGTTACTACAACCAGAGTTAGAAGATTAACTCACATAAGTCACTGACTAAATCATTCTTCCATGCCTTCATCCATATCGAACTGTGCACACACATCAGGAAAACATAGGGAATACGCTGCCAATGATTTGTGTGGTTGGCAATACACAACAGATGTCGGACAACATCATCCACTCATCTCTTTGTGTGTTTGCAACAGCAAACTAATGATTCAGGCATTCAGCGATTGGTAGGTGAAGACAAGCAAAAGGTTAAACGAAGTTGATAAGAGGATTCAACTTGCTAGTAATCCTAGGAATTTGATGGGTATGGAATGAAAAAAAAAAGAACACAATGTTCACGTGTTGAATGGTGCGACACCAAGTGCTCAAAGGGGCCCTTCGACTTACCAGAGATGAGGGTTATGGTCTGATGCGGGGGCTAAGGGTGCACACCTCGCTGGTGGAGGACAGTTGAAACAAAACTTACCGCTAACGTTACATCCACGCCGGAGCCAGGGACAATTCCTTTTTCCAAAAGGGCCTTGCTTATATCTAGCAACTTATTCTCCAACTAAAAATAGCAACAAGTAACATATATGAGCATAAAGCAAAAGATTATGCATGAAATATGACTTCTGTTTATAATAACATTTATAGAGAACATGATTTGATCAATAATGCACATATACCTCAACTGCAGTAGCAATGACTTCACCATTCACGGATAGAATAATATCACCCATCCTAACACCAAGTTTCTCAGCATTAGATTCTGCTGACACCTGCAGTTCAATGGAAATAAATAAGCCCTTATGCATAACAATGAAAACAAATGTTAGAAAAATGAAAAAAAATGGTTCTACTTATGGATGGACAATCAATACCTCTTTGACGATAAGACCGGCATCAACATTATACTTCCGAGATATCTTCTCTTTACTGACAAGGTTTAAACATTTGATGCCAAAAAGCTTCATCCCAAGATGGATCCGAGGTACATGACTATACCAAACATTTATTAGATTCCAAGGTAGGCAAATAACAGCAAACATTTTCAACAAAGTGGTTAAAAGTTACAAACGAAAGTGTGTATCAAACAGAACCAGATAATTTGATCTTAAATATATAAGCCTACAAAGTATCGTGTGATTTAACCCCTCCCGACCCAATAAAAAACCCTTGTAAAAAACTTGTTCAAATGACCTTCTACAAGGTTTTAGAGCTTGTTCAGTCAACCCAGGTGGTGACAAAACACAGTTTCATCCTAGCTTTGGTGTTGAAGATGACCTGACACAGTCCCCTTTTGGTCAGAATAAAGAGTACAGATAGTCATATGTATGTTTTATGTTTAGAATCTACAATGCATTACAAATTTCATCAGAAATGCTTGCATGTTTCTGAAACTAGCATTTCTCGTCACCAATTTCCCATCAAATGGTCATGGTCACGTAAGAAGATATATTCTGTTAGATTAATCAAAGGATCAGTGTGCTTCTACCGGTGCATTATTTATGTAGGTAAATGTAGGTACAAATTACATCAGACACTTGGATGTTTCCAAAATAGGCATTGGTAGGTACTAATACCCAAAATGCGCAAAACTTAATATACCTAACCCAGTTCCATGGCAGGCAGAAAATGGCAATGCTCAGATCGCATCCATTTCCCACCTCACCAAACCCAATATCTAGAAATAAAGCGGTTGTAGTCTAAGGCATTAAAACAAAACAAGACCAACTAGGCTTTTATACAAAAGCATAACTAAGAAAAACTAAGAAAAGGCTCATCTTCAAAGGGGGCTGAGCAACATCATAGAACAATAGAAAAGAAAGAGAAACATACCTGTATGTCCTCCAAATCTCCAAACACTTTCGAATGATTGAAGAAGGTATGAAATGTATGGAACTAGTTATCATTCCAGTAACATCTCCTTCAAAGTTTATAACTGCCCCTCCAGCACCAAACTACATATTTTTTGTTGTTAGCACAAAATTTAAAGCGGCGTGCAAATCAAAATAAGAAGAATATGAATTGTACCGGAGAGATATGACCATCGGTGTACATGTAATGGTGATGTTGAAACTTGCCTGCACCTTTGCTCAGCACTTTGCCATTACCTATTTGTAAATTCAACTCGTATCTTCCAAGAAGGAAAACATCCTGAGCAAACCGTTCATTGCTGAAACGAGGTAACTTCTTTGGTTCATCCATGAGTACACGGAACAGGGCAAAACCATATTGCTTATCTAAATACATCAATTCACCCTTCCCAAAATCATCCTTATGCAATAACTGAACACGGACCTAGAACAATAGTTGGAAAAGACATGATGCTATCTTTGAGAAAGTAGCTTTCTAGAAATGCACAACATAACCTATTAAATCTAAAACTAAAGCATCTAGAAAAGCCGAGGGAGTTATCATTTTTTTAGCTATCTACACCATAAGTGATACCAAGGAATGGTACAGAAGTAAATAATGTCCACAGAACAATGCACAATCTGCCACTCCCGCTTTGGGTCGAAATTTCTTATCATTCGATATAGCCCATCAAATTGTTCTGAAAACTAACGCTAATATTTTTTTCTTTTAAAAAAGGCATTATATTTTGAAAAACTTACCTCAGCATTTAGAGCATATTCATCTCCGCCTAACCACTCATCCACATTTGGAGATCTTGAGCAGATGAGTTGCGATGTTGTTAGAATGGTTCCAGCGCCCTTACTCCTCTCCATCAAAATGCCAGAGCAGTTTCTTAGTAACTCACCATCTGCATATGCACATTTGCGTTAGGAAATTACAGCAAAATCTGTAGCACAACGAAATACAACAATATTACATACCAATATATGAGGAGAGCCCTAAAACAAACTCTGATGCTTTAAGGATGGTATCTGCTTCACTTTCTTGAATAATATTTGGACTAGTAGCAGTGTCTGAATCCAGTGTGGGAAGCTTCGTTATTTGAGCTACACATAGAAAAAAAGAAAACACAAAGTGAAAAAAAAAATAGGACGAAGTTTAACTACGAACATGAATTTTGTGCTGCATAGGGAAAAGACAATATATATAGGTCCATAAATTAATTAGCTATCGAACATAGTCTTGCCTACTACTACTGTACTTTGTTGGTTCTAAGCAATGATGCATGGATACCAATTGTTGTTCTTTGGTCCTAGACAGGATACAAAGAGGAATTGGGTGCTGAAATACGAACCTATCTTGTCAAAGTACTCTTTTTCCGCCTTCCAGTAGGGTTCCATCAGCACTGGGTCCGGGTCAGGGATTGTTCTTCGCAGAGTTGTCCGTTTGAATCCTGCTCCAGCAGGTACGGCATACGGAGGGGAGAGGAGTTGGGTAAAAAGGCACCTGCAGCAGCAGTATCCTCAGGCTCCAGCATGGCACCCGCAGCAGTATCCTCAGGCTCCAGCATAGGCTCCACCTCTTCCCCTCCGGCAGGTGAAGCTGGAGCTGTCAACTCTTCCCCGCCGGCAGTTGAAGCTGGCAAAGCTTTCCCTCCGGCAGTTGAAGCTGAAGCAGGCTCGGGAGTCACCAACTGTGCGCCAATTGAATCTCCGGCAGCCGCTTCCTCTGGAGAGGAAGGTGCGGCCGCAGATGCGGGCATGCCACGAGGGCGTCGTGCGGAATAGGACCGTCGCGTCGATCGGGACCCCGACGACTCCACCTCCTGAGGGACGGTTGGCGCCATACCTGAGGGGGTCGAGGTGCCAGATCTGGCCGCCCTCGACCGGGACCTCGTCGCCGGGGGCGACCGCTCTACGGAGGAGGGGGAGGGGGAGGTGGGTGAGGATCGCCGCCGCTTTCTACCCATGGATAGAGAGCCGGTTTTCGAGTATGTCTTCGAACGAATCACGCCGCCGCTGCGATTTCGATTTCGCGGTGGAGTCGATGTGGGGAGGGGAAGACTGGGGGGTTTTGCCCTTTTTTTTTTTAGGGCAGGACTGGTGATTTATGATGCTGATGCCCGCCGTGAGCGCCGGCGGCCCGCTGCTGGGCCGCGGCCCACGCCCATGTTATTATTTCCTTCTTTTTCTCTCTTCTTTTCTTTTCTTTTTTGTTTTCTATTTATCGATATTCTTTTTTTCCTTTCATTTTTTTTCTTTTGTTTCCATATCTATAAACCATAGTGTAAACTGCATCTACCATACAACAACTTGTATGGTCGTATCACCAGGCAAGGCTCCCAGTCGTCCGATTTCATATGCCTGGGTCAGGATTGGCTGCCTCGCAGGCATGCAAGGGCGCCATCCAAGCCCCAAATGCGTGTACGAGTCCCACGACTAAAAAGACTAAAGCGTGGACAATTTTTTGGTTCTGCCTCCTGCGTTCCCATACCTCTTGCGCCTACGTTCCTCGCTTGCGAAAAAGGAAGGAAGAAACCTCGCTTGTCACAATCCTGCAATCACGCCCTCGCTCACGCTATGCCCTGCCCAGCCTTGCAATTCCTTCGCCCCACGCTAGCCTGTGCCCGGCTTCTAAAAAAAGGAAACCGGAATCTCAGGCGCTCTCAATCTCCTTCCTCCGTCCCGTGTGCTCCCGATCCTTCCTTCCCAGTTCGTGCGATATCTGTTCCCCTTCGATCGCTAAAGGTGACGATCTCTCTCGGTAGCCCTAGCCATCGCATGCCATCGCGCTGCAGTTCTCCGCCCCTCGCCATCGCGTTGCGACCATGGGCGCATCCCCGACGCCCTAAACATAATCATAATAATTTGGTGATGGCGTGATTATTATCATAATCAAGTGCGAGTTGAACACAAATTTGGTGACGTTCACTGATTATTATCATAATAATATAATGGGTAGGTAATAAAACACAAATATAATGCTACGAATAACAAGACATAGCAAGAATATTTTTCTGCTCATCAGGTTTCTCAGATCATACATGGGAGAGACACCACTAGATCCACCAGACTAGTAAATCCAATGTTTCATTTCCTTGTTTACTCTAGCTAAAGTATCTTTTGTGTTGTATACTTTTGGCGACCGACTTGACCGTACTTAAATAGGTGGCCTTTGTGAACATTCCCGTGATTGGCTCGTCTCCCTTGCCTTGCGTCTTACGCCGATTTTTTTTTCTTGACTCTATAAATCTAAACGGAAGTAGTAAAAAAATACTACCAGAGTGGAGAGAGTGAATTGTGATTTTGTTGGTTAATTGACCGCCATATTAACTATGGCTAGTAGCATGAGGAAGTCGAATTTTTATATAATAATAGTCAAAGCCAAAATGCCCCCACTTTCTTTTCCACGGTTTTTCCCAAATATCACCAAGTAGCCTGTCATGTTCAAGGACTAGTATGCATTACCACGATCCACGAGTGCCTTGTCGTAAATCTTTATCACACTCACTCCGCTACATGCATCTGTCGTCCAAGGCAACCGATTCATCATCCGGCGATGAGACACAGACACGCTCTAGATTTGTTCATTTTCGCCATCTGGACAAGAGTCGCTAACCTTAATTTGGCACCATCAGAAATTGCATAGCCCCAAAAATGGTAGTGGGAAGAAAAAGAGTATTGCTAGAAATAAGAATATTAACAAAAAGATATTTTAAAAAATAAAATCAGAATATCAAAATATAACTATCTACACACAATAAAACAAAGGAGTTTTTGAAAGGTTGCCAACCCTTTCAATCTCCATACCTTTGTAAGAAGGAGTACATCCAATTCATCCACTGATTGTTATCGACCCCAAGATGTAGATATGAGCATATCTATATTCATTATGCTGGGTGTGACCGTACTCATGGAAAAAAAAACAATAGTAGGTGTCAAAAAAACCTTTCGCGTGCAAGGTATACACACTCTCCTTGGATATGCTTCAGCTCCACCTCTGGAGCTACACGCACATGTGTGTGAAATAGAGCCCTATCTTTTGGAACACAATACTTACATTGTCTTATATAATATTGTAACTTTACCTATAATTTTTTGTGATCATCGTGTTCGGTTGTCTAATTTGCATTACCCATTGGGTTATGTACCATGCCACGTGAAAATGTCATAAAAAATATTATTTTGAGACAGTCTCTCTTCGTGACTTTTATATTTTGCAATTTACAATATATGAATTGAGTTATATGAATTTTTAAAAATATTTTGGTTACCTTATTCGATATGATTTCGTGGGGACTCAAAAAGGCCATAAAGTGAAACCGAACATGCATGATACTACACCAGAGACATAATAGCCTCATCATAGCATAATATATGGAGCAGTATCCTCAGCTAACAGTGAATCAATGGCCAAACGAGATACCGGAAGCATTCTCAATCTACCTATCTAGCAGGGACAAAATGTCGGAATTCTTTTATGTCATTAGAGAGAAAGAGGTGTCACTACCAGCCAAACTCTTAACCTTTTTGTGTTGCTTAAAACATGTTTCAGGAAACTCTTTTCCCTGCTTTTATGTTGCTTATTATTCTCTTTGCAGAAAACTTGTTTTGCACATATAAGACATACTTTACTCTTTTGCGTTTCATTCATGTAATGAATTGCGCTGAAATTTTCTTCTATGTCATCGCCAAAAGCAAGCCCAAATCCAATGTCCCTGACAAACATATCCATCTTTTACTGGTGCGAGTTGAACACAAATTTGGTGATGCTTAGTACAAGATTATCATCATAATAATAGGTAATAACAATACAAATATAATGTCACGAATAATAACAAGAATATTTTTCTGCTCATCAGGTTTCTCAGATCATACATGGGACAGACACCACTAGATCGACCAGACTAGTAAATCAAATATTTCATTTCCTTGTGTACTCTAGCTAAGGTTTCTTCAGTGCTGTATAGTTTCGCGTAATAATCGATCAACAATTCAAGAAATGATCAAACGACAATGGCCTCTCACTCTCCCTGCGAGACGAGAGAGTGCATCTAGATCTCACAGAGACTCGTCAGACACGGCCTCCTCCGGTGGCAGATGCAATGAACGACAGCAGCGGGTTACCAGCGCCACCGGCACCCTGGTCAGCAACCTCATCGAGGAACAGGTCCTCAGGCACGCGGCACGCGCCGTGCGCGCACACGACCGCGGCGCCGAGCGCGAGCGCGGAGAAGATGAGCGACCCCACGGACGTGAGGAAGACGACGAACGCGGACGCTGCGACGAGCCCGCCGAGCACCTCGCGGTCGGAGAAGGTGCGGCCGAACGCGGCGACGGGCGGGGCGGAGCACGTAGAGGAGGCACCAGGCGGCCAGCAGCGCCAGGAGCGCGGCCAGCGAGAACGGGTGCGCCAGCAGCGCCGCGGCGAGGGACAGCGGAAGTAGGCCAGGTTCTTGCGGAGACGGGAGGTGGCCTCGGCGAGGGAGTCTGGGCGGGAGAGCGCCGAGCGGTCTGCGAGCTCGGACCAGGGGCGCGCGCCGGAGAGAGCGCGACGGGTGGTGTCGACGAGGCGCGAGAGGAACGCCCGGATCGCCGCTGGGTTGGTATCCGTGGCGTCCGCGGAGGAGAGGGCCGTGGGTATGGGAGTGCGCGCGGGGGTGGCGGATGGTGCGGCGGCCGTGACGACGCTGGTGGGGAGGAGCGGAGGCGAGGCCGCGGTGTCTCGGCGGGTTTGGGGGATCTGAGGACTGAGGAGGGACGGGAGGACGCGGAGAGAGAGGAGATGGCCGCGAATACAAATGGTGGCCTGACCGACCAACCCCGTCCGTCGCGTGGTTGCCAAACAAACAAGGCCGCACCGCACCGCACCGACACACGGGTCAACGTTTTTACCAGTCAGCACTCACCACGCTGCACGTTTCCTTGTGAACTTTTTTTTTTTGTCGAGAAATAATTTGTTGTTTTCCTTGGCTCCAGTCCATCAAAATTTCCTTATTTTACACTCAGAACTGTGACTGGCTGCCAATTGTAGTGCTCCATCAAAAGTTCCTTTTTATCACATTCAAAATTCATACGAGCTATGTCGCATGGGCAGTCACTCCAGGGCTCCAGGTTCGTGTTGCCAAGAAAAGCAGCAATTGATGGTTAGGTAAGGTAACGACGCAATGTGCTCTGAAATTGTGATGCACAAGAAACAATGCTCGGGCAGCAGAGAAGTTTCCCTTTCCAGGTTAGGCAGCACTAAAGAGTAGGCCCAGCACCAACAGCAACAAGTCTGCAATGCATCTTCCTCTTTTTTTCAATATCAATCAACCACCATGTACTTTGCTTGGATCTAGAAGAAGAAACAGCCGGCACACCAGAAAAGCTCTTCCACCATATCCAAGGGCCAAAGTCCAAACCTCCCTCCCCTTGCATCATTTCTTTAATGTACTATACTACTATACCAGGACAGCAAAATCACAACAGCAAAAAGCTAGTCTGAAAAGCAAGCCTAGAACTGAAGCATTCAACAAAATGATTTTTTTACGCATAGGCAAAGGGGCGAGCCTGTGGACCGGCCCAAAGGTCTATATTGCATATAGAGAGTCTTCCTAAAAAGTTCATTGATCTTCTCCTATTCTTGGAGATCACCTTCAGCACATGAACCGCCACTTAGCCCTTTTATTCTTTGGCTTCCTCCTATTACTGCAAGCATGCAAATATGCTCTTATTGATTCCATATAGTTTGATGGAAACAAAGATTGGTTTAAACAAAAACAGAAGCACCTGGTATGAAAGGGATGGAGATCATACCTGATGCATGCAACCATAAATCACAAATGCCTTCTCTTCGTACCTCAGCCATAACCTGCAGGAAACTAAGGGGTAATAGAACATTAAAAAAAATAGTAAACGAAGAACTACCTAACCTTTCATAGCCAAGATTACAAACACATGGCGTGCAAGATCACATGCCAAATCGCATTATCCCAACAGATCGTGTTCGAATCACTTTTGTATGCCTGCAACATCCACTCATCCAGGGCCACAGCACAGTACAGACCTTTTGCTTGAGGCCCCACTCTAGCCTCCACACAGGTGTTGATCCTCTCCACCTTCCCATGCCGCTGCACCACCGCTAGGACAGGGAAACGATGGTGACCGGAGAGCCATTCGCCACCTGCATCATCAAAACCAAAATATCTTCCAGGAAGCAGGGCCGCGCGCTGGAGCTAGATCTTTATTCCTCACATCCATAGCTACAAGGAGCGATGCCACACGCACAGCTGCGACTTCCTGTGGTCAACGCCGCCGAGCACGGAACGGGAGGAGCCAGAGGAGGCACCGACGCGACGCCCACGCGCACACACCTGCGGGCGATGAAACTTTTGTGGCGCGGGAGGCGGGGAGGGGACTCCCGGCCATCGACGCCGCCGAGCACGAAGCGAGCGGAGGCGGTGACCCTCCACAGGAACCGCACCTTCAAAAATTGAGTGACAACACACAAAGAAAGCAGGATTCAGAATAATCAATTGAATGACGAAACACAAATAAAGTTCGATTCAGAACAATCCTCTCCAAAAGAATAATGGCACAACCAAAGCACGATTTGCAACAATCAGACGCACAAGATTATACAACTCAAACACAAATCACTACAATGGCATCTATTTTCTACGCCCCCCTATCTCGCCACCGACGCCCGGCGCCCCACGAGGCCTCCGCCCCAGTCCCGAGGAGCACGGCAGTATCTCTCATAGGACGGCCACCACCTCTGTGCAGTCCACGGTGCTGGCGAGGCGCAACGCCAGTCTCCACGGGCGGCGGCGTCTACCTGCAAGGCAGATCTGGCCTCCCCGCCCTGGCCGGCAGACCTCCTTTTCCCGCCCACAGCGCCGCCTAGCAAGAACCACCGTGCAGCTCATGGCGGCCTCGATTGGTAGCGGCCTCCGCTGCCCGACTCCTCACCTATTTGCAAGTCAGATCCGGCCTTCCCGCACCAACCACTGCACCTCCATTTCCCGCCCCAGTTCCCACTACGCAAGAAACTTCGCAAAACGAAAGTAGGAAAAGGATGTAGAGAGGAGAGCGCTCGCACCGGAAAACGGCCGGAACGGGCAGGCCCAGTTGTTATCCCCTGCGGTTTCTCCTTCTGGGAGACGCCGGCGACTGAGGCCCGCACACGATGGGGGCCTCCCGTGCCGTTGCGCCGCCGCATCAAGTCAGATCCGGCCTTCCCGCACCAACCACCGCGCTCCATTTCCCGCCCCAGCTCCCACTACGCAAGAAACTTCGCAAAACGAAAGTAGGAAAAAAGGATGCAGAGAGGAGAGCCGCCTGGGCCGCGAGGCGCAGCACGTGCGTGAACGGCACCACGGACAGGTGCCGCTCCAGCAGCGCAGCGTCGTTGATGTCGGCGTCCAGCACCACCACGCGCCGGGGGGGAGCAGGGGCTCGGACGCGGCCGCGGCCATCGGCGTTGGACGGTGCACCATGGCGCCATGCCGGGGGACGCCGCTGCGCCGCGCACAGGGTGCGGGGAGCCTCGGCGGTCGCGACGAGGAGCGAGGGAGAGAGCGAGAGCGAGAGGAGGGGAGGAGCGGAGCTGCTGTCGCGTGCCATTTACACGAGAGAGAAAGAGTGGAGCCATGCCGGTCGGTGCATGGTCGGTGGCCCATCCAGTGCCGAGCGTACAAGCATGGTCGGCGCATGGTCGGTGGGTAAATTGGAGAGGAGATACATGAAGCTGGTTGTGACGCGCCACATCTATGTCGTGAAATCTTTATCTAATGTACAAAATAAGAACCGTCGATTCGACGTGCTTCATATCTTTAATTATGTGCCAAGCCTACTGTATGCTGCTATGCATGAAGTGACAAGTGCAGCCGTCAACGTTGTCGCTGTCGGTGGGCCAAACAAATAATGGGGCCCAATATCAGTGGCAGCTACTACGAGAGACCACGGGTTTGCTCTTAGTACTATTTTGGAATGCAGCTGGATTTACGAAATCATCACATTATGGTATAAAATAACCTTGTCCCCAACGACATTTTTGTAGGCTGTTTGGAAATAAAATACTGTAATAAGTGATACGGCAGGAGAGGGAACAGATATGCACTGTTCGGCTGGCATTTTGTCCATGGACGCGGTTAACGCATGCATGCCGTGCTGACATAAGCCTAAAAAGGTGAAACATTTTTTTTGAATTGCTATCAGCCTGTTCGGGTGTTCGGGGGGCCGTATCGTATCGTGGATTATTTATTGCTAGCTGGTTTGGTGTGAGAGAAAAACACTGTTTCTGGAAATTTATGATCGTTTACGAGCAAGCGAACAGGCTGATACTCTTGAATGGTGTATCCGTTTTCAATTCCGTCTGCACTGGTGTGTTCTACACGACGAGATGAACAAAACTAGACCTCACTTGCTTATGTTTCAAAGAATTTTATTTTAGTAGAAATATATGTGTAATACGTGCTAGGAGATTTACAGAGGAATTACTACCATATAATACTAAAGTTGCTACTCCAAAATATATTAAAGTTGTTATATAGTATGCACATCTATTGTTATCATGAGAATATAATAAATATAAAAAATAAGTTACTACCATATAATACTAACCCTTAAAGGGAGTAACGGACAAAAAACAAAACAAGCCGTAACCTGGAGGGGTAAATTATTAAAATAAATATTGCATAAGCTGCCAATTAGAAGAGCAAGTTATTATGCAATAAATTACAAAATATCCAGGAAACATGACCTGTTGCCAATAGGGCATTTATTAAAAAATCAGGGTAGCGATATAAAGCAAGACAAGCTGCAACCTGAGGGCAAATTAATAGAACAAACATTACATAAGCTGCCAATTAGAGGGACGAGTTATTATAAAACCCACTATATAAGTCGAGAAACATGACTAGCTGAAAATTAGAGGGACATTTATTAAAAAGACAAGAGTAGCAACCCAAAATAAGGTAAGTTGCACTCTAAGAGGCAAATTATTAGAAGAAGCATTGCATAAGATGCCTACGTAAAGGGTAAGTTATTATACAACTAATATGTAGGATTTAGGACGAACCTAAAAGTATGACTAAAAACTGAAACAAAAAAAAACATTAAAACACATGATTGAAAAACTAAAACTAAAACTAAAAAACTGAAAAAAAAACTTGATTGAAAAATAAAATTGGTGGCAAATTCTTGTGGCAACTTATGTGCAATGGCTATCGTTTTGTGATAACTTATACATTGTAGGTGAGGCAACTAATATGCAGGATTTAGAAAGGCATTCAAACCTTAAAAGGGTGACCGAAATCTGAAACTATTTTTTTAAAAAAAAACTAGACTAAAAAATGAAACTTAAATAATTGAAAACTTAATTTCAAGGGCTTGGGGGAAGCCTATCTTCCCCTTCTCTACTCTCAATTCTAAACTCGATATCATACAACTAATATGCAGTTGTCCCTTTCAAGGTTCAGTGTTTCAGATATCAGTATTTCATTGTTCTCTGTGATTTTCTGTTTTTTTCGTGATCCAATTTCTAATTTTTGTGTTCATCATAATTTTGTGTTCTTTGTTTCAATTGATGTAGCCTCACATACCTGCAAAATAATTTGTTATTTAGTTCCTCCTGGTAATAAAACTTTCTATTCTCACATACCTGGAGCATGTACTTGTTTTGTTGATCTATATATTCTGATCCTTTGTTGTCAATTTCAGTCAAGCTTTGTTTAACATATCTTACTATTTCCTTCGACTTTGGACTTAAAGTGATGCTTGTAGCATTTTGTTGTTTTTGTATGCTATTTGACAATACATATGTATCTTCAACCTGCAAAAATGTTAGATGAGGAGATATTATTTGTTGTAGAAGTTGTCTTTCTCATAATTTTTCAAAATAGTGTATCACCTGCTTTTGTATGATATCTAATCTTGAAGGTTGAAATTTTCTTGTTCTCGGCGATAGAATTTGGCTCATTACCTTTGCGAACCCTGACCCTGTATTATTTGTAAAAAATGTGTTCGTGCAAAAAGTGACCAACAAGTAAATATTTGTAGTTTTGTCGTGCGTTGTGATTGGATGTGGCCTAGCACTCAATGACACAGGGTTTATACTGGTTTAGACAACGTGCCCTACGTCCAGTTCTAATCGGTCGGTGACTTTATTCCTGAGCCCAGGTGCTCGAAGTTTGCTGTGGGGTTACAAACGAATGGGAATAAGAAGGGGGTGTTAAAGGTCCGGTCAGGCTCTGGACCGAAGGGCCAAGAGTGATGGAAGCTCCTACGTGCGCTAAGTATTGGAACATATGTTCTATGCAGCTTTAGAGTTCTAGAGCCGTAAAGCTGTTCGAATGCTCAAAATATCTAAAGCTTAGCAGAGAGCGAGTCGGAAAAAATGACTGTCCTCTATTGGGAGAGAGCACATCCCCTTTTATAGGTGAAGGGGATGGCCTTACAAGTGAGAGAGAGAGAGTGTGTGTGTGCTTGTATTTTTACTAAGTCTTGTTGCCCATGCTATCGGGTACAAGACGGTCGTCGGCGTCCACAATACTGTTTATGTCAGACGCGTATGGCAGGCTTTATCGTGTTCGCCTGGTATGGCAAATGATGGCGCCCACAACACTATAAGGCAAATGTCAGCGCCCACAACACTGTTCGGGTTCTGACATGCCTGGAAGGTTACAAAGCATACTTCTGCCAGGGCCTAGCAGTACTGTCTTGCAGGTGTGCAGGGTACGGTCCTTGGTATTATGGTTGACTTGAGCGCATTGCCCTAATCGCTTCGCCTAATTCTTGGGTCCTCACTGAGCGGGCGTCCCCGGTCGGTCGTTCCCAGTCGGTTCCGAGCACGCCGGTCGGAGAAGAGCGGTAAGCAGAGGTTCGATGTATTCCTAGTTGGAAAAGCGGGTCGAAGTCGGAAGTGAGTGTTGTCCCCTCCTTGGCCAGGCCTTTCGGTTGGAGACTGGATCGCTCTTCCGGCCTATCGTTTGGTATCTGGGCTAGCCCAGGAGTCGCACATTGTTGTAATGCCGTTTGCTGGGCCGAGCTTTTGCTGGGAAGCGGGCCCATCGGGGACCCTAGGTTTATGAACCCGACAAGAGCCCCCGAGCCCTTTTGGGACTTCTGCGAAGTTGTGAAGGGGCTGTTTATACTCGTTGTACGAGAGCAACAGATGGGTGCAAGATCATGAGTCACCGTCGGGCACGACGGAGCATGGACCCAGGCGTTGGGCGCGGCCGAGGGGTTGGGCGCAACGGAGCATGGACCCAGGCATCGTACCGACAAACTAGCATGCTGATCAGCGGCTGTACCGAGAGTTGGCAGCATAGCGACCATGCGTCCGTCACTGTGGGTTGATGTGAGTCCCCTAGAACGACAAGTCGCGGAGATGGGTCGTGCTGAGATGCGACCGCTCTCTACACGATGCTAGAAGTTTGACCTGGGGTTGTGCTTTTTGGCCAGTAGTGGTTGGTGGTGGCGTGAGCTTCCATTAGGAACCGTGTCTGAGGGATCGGGCAAAGCGGGGCCAGCTCTCAGACGTCGGGCGAGCTGGGGCCCAGCAAGGGGTGTGGCCTTGGTGGTCCTAGAAATCACCTAGGGGATTTTTTGACTTGCCAGCGGGTGCGCGCGAGCACACCCGGTGGGTGCAGCCCCCAAGCCCGCTGGTGATTCGGATAGAATCGCCTAGGGGTTTTTCGACTTGCCAACGTTCTGAGCCATCATTTCCGGGAGCGCGGACCTAGGCGTCGGGCGTCAACCCAAACATCGGCCATAGCCACGGGGTCGGGCGCGACGGAGCACGGACCCAAGTGTCGGGCGTGGCCGAGGGGTTGGTCTAGTTTCGTGTGTTACCCCATCTGTAGTTTCCGCAACCGGAGGGGCTGAGCTAACGTCGCTTGCCTCGATGGCTCGAGTGACGCGCTCGGTGAGCTCTATAATGGGTCATTCGTAACGGGGTCGGCATAGCCCTCATGTGGCATTCCACTACTACTTAACCCGCCTCTCGGCAGATGCCTGAGCCGTTTTGGAGACCGACTCAGGTGGCCCGCTGGCCTCCCCTCAATGGAGATTCTGTGGGCATGGCTCGAGGTTAGGGTCGAATGAGAAGGTCGAGATGACCCTGTCTGCTTCTAAGCAGATCAGGTGAGGGCAGCTGGGGCTTATCTGCATTTGCTCCCCTAGCTCTGTTTGACGCGAGGCGGCCTCGAGCCCTTCATGGGCCGGCCTTCGAACCACGATCGGTCGTCGCTCATGTCGAATGAGGCGACTACCGCTTCGTGATGCAACACGAAGCGTTGTGATGCATCAATTGCATGTGCAATGCTTTGGATGTATGGGATGAATGTGTGAATGCGTGTATGCGGAAGGATGAATGAATGATTATGCATTTAGAAAATAAATTAAAGTAAGAAAGTTTGGAAAAGATACCTTGATGACTCAAGTGGCGGGTTTGAGGAGCTCTTATCGGATATGTTTGAATGGGATCCATGTCCGTCATTTGTGATAGAGTCAGCGTAGCCCACATGGGGCATCCCACTGCTCCTTACCTGTCTCTTGACAGTCGCCTGAGCCATCCGATTGACTCAGGTAGCCCGTTGGCCTTTCCTTGACGAAGATCCTAT